ATTTTTGATGTTTGGGGTATTGATTTTATGGGTCCCTTCCCTTCATCGTATGGTTTCATGTATATTTTGGTTGCGGTTGATTATGTGTCAAAATGGGTGGAAGCCAAGGCCACCCGGACTAATGATTCTAAAGTGGTTGCAGAGTTTATTAGAACTAACATTTTTGCAAGGTTTGGAATGCCACGAGTGATCATTAGTGATGGAGGGTCACACTTTTGCAATCGGACCATTGAAGCGTTATTGAGGAAATACCATGTCACCCATAAGGTTTCTACACCTTACCATCCTCAAACGAATGGCCAAGCCGAGGTTTCCAACCGAGAGATCAAGCAAATACTTGAGAAGACTGTTGGGCCAACAAGGAAGGATTGGAGCTTACGGTTAGATGATGCACTTTGGGCGTATCGTACGGCGTACAAAACTCCCATTGGGATGTCCCCCTTTCGACTTGTCTATGGCAAGGCGTGCCATCTTCCCGTTGAATTGGAGCATAAAGCACTTTGGGCCATCAAGAAGTTTAACATGAACCTCGATGAAGCAGGAAGTCAAAGGAGATGGCAATTAAATGAGCTTGATGAGATAAGGCACGAGGCGTATGATAATGCAAGCATTTACAAGCAAAAGACCAAAGCTTTCCATGACAACATGATCCGTGGGAAATCATTCTCAATTGGGCAGAAAGTGCTATTGTTCAATTCCCGTTTACGTTTGTTTCCTGGTAAGTTACGTTCTAAGTGGATTGGACCATTTGTTATTACTGATGTTTTTGTTCATGGTGCAGTCCAAATCCAAAGCTTGAAAACGGGACATGAATTCAAGGTGAACGGGCATCGTTTGAAGCCCTATTATGACACCTTTGTGGAGCATGCCGTGGATGACATACCCTTGGAAGCTGTGGGCCCTAGTAAAGTTTGAATGGAAGCATCGTCCGGCTGGAAAACGTTAAAGCAAGCGCTTCGTGGGAGGCAACCCATGCAATCAACAAAGGAAGAACTTGGGAATCGCTCCACACTCAGATTTGCGTCCCTAAACCCTTTCCTTTGTTGCTTACTTTATGTTATGTGTATTGTGTTTTTAATTGTGTCTAAAACATTGAGGACAACGTTTAGTTTAAGTGTGGGGGGGTAACATTCTGTTTTGAGATATTTGTGCATGAAATTCGTAGGGTATTACCACCTAGCATGTCTAAACTTGTTTCCCACTGTTTTAAGTGTTTTTAAGCTATTTTAGAGTATTTTAGAGTGTGTTGACTTAAAAATCCGAAAATACCATAAAAATTTGAAAAATTGTTTTTAAAAACCCAAAAAGAGTTATTTTTGTGTGTTTGTTTGTGTCGTAGGGTACCTTCCAACACAATGATGAGGATTTGGTTTTTAATTGCATGATGGTTAAAGAAAGTTACAAACATGGATGGACGTTTGATATACTCTTTGGTTTATGCTTGGTTGTCGTTATAGTTTACGAATTCACATGTAATCACAAATGATAAAAATTAGTTTTTGTAACATGCTTGAAGGAATGAACTCAAACTAATGCTACATCCCTGTGAGACTTGAGCCTAAACGTTATTTGGAGAGTTGTAATCTGTTCATCATTGTTTTCTAAGTCATTGCATGATCTCATTATTCATTGCTTGGTTACTACTTAGAAGGCGTTTCATCACTTAGTTCCAAATGCTAGAACTCATGCCCATTTCATTCAAAGCATGTCATTGATTTGCATAACACATATTCAAGATGAAGTTGTGTAGTGAACACCATAGCCAAATTGCCATATTTCCCTTTTCATTTGTTTTGTAGGATTTAACCCCATTGAGCCTTGTTAGCCTTCATTATTTGTTAACTCATGTTTTCCTCACCTAGCCTAGATTAGGACCATCCTTACCCTTGTTCTTGAAGCATAGTAAGCAATGAATTCCTTTTGATTAATGTGTTGCAGGAAATAAGTGTGGGGGAAAGATTATTGATGTGAGTTTATGTGCCATAGGCATGGCTAGAAAGAAAAAAAAAAAAAAAAAAAAAAAAAAAAAAAAGAACGAAAAAAAAAGAAGTGAAAAAGAGTTCCAAAGTATTGGTTGTTGAAGTAAGGGCCCAAAACAATGAATTAGGCCCTAAGAGTTGTTTGAATCTTCCCTATTTGTTTAAAAGTTGATTTCTGCATTCTAAGGGAATTCTAGGACTTAATTTCAATACTTTGCTTGCTATTGCTTAAAGAACTTTTGTTTATCCCTACCTTTCGTTGTTAGCCAATACCCCAGGCCCCGTTACAACCCTTGACTTCTATCTTGAGTGTTGTGCATTTCAATTGTGGAGTTTGAATTTGGTATGAGCATATGGTGTCACTGGTTCTCGCATCTAAGTAGTAGCATTCCATTCATGAGATCATATCTAAACATGTTTAATTACTCCAGAAATTGCGTTCTTTGTTATAACATATGTGAGTACTAGTCTTTCATGTTTACATCAATCTTCTCACATATAACTAGTGTAGGGTGTGTAGTCAGAAAATCTGAGTGAAAATTGAGTGCATAACTAGTGAGGAATTGAGGGAATTCTCTAAGGCATGTTACTACATTCAAAATATGTTTTAATTGATTAAATGCGAACTAGTGAATGGTGACTATGATTAAGTATGTGCTTGAGGGGAAGGAAGACTAAAAGCTATGTGAGTAATGATCTTTGACATGTCATGTTTCATTGGAAATCCCTGAGGCAAACGTTGGAAGGTTTAGGTTATGTTTTGTTTGTTTTGTTGCGTTTTGTTTACTTTAGTTGTTTTGTTTTGCTCGAGGACTAGCAAAAGTTAAGTGTGGGGGAATTTGATAGGAGCATATTCATGCGACTTAATTAGCTTGTTCTCGTGCATTTATGTTGTGTTTACTTAGTTGTTTTAGTGTTTAAGGCCACTTTTGTGTATTTTCAGATTATAAGGCCAAAGTGTGCAAGAAGATGCAAATTGGAGTCTTTTGGAGCGAAAGAGGAACGAATGAGTTGAAGACTTGAAGAAACGATGAAATCATACTCCAACGATGAATTCTTACCAAAACGAGGAATCCTACTCAAACAAGGTTTCCTATTTTAGGAAAGTTAACCCTAAGTTTCCCGTTTTGGTAACCTTTCCTAAACTTAAACGTCCATATTTTCTAGCCACTTTGACGGCCTTATAGGCACTTTAGGACACAAAACCAAGGCCCTAGCCCTATTTCCCTTCCTAGCCGCACCTTTATATTTATGTTTTAATTTCCTATTTTCGTAAGCCTTTGATTTAATTTTAAATAAGCTAGGGTTAGTTTTCTGAAATCATACATTTTCCTAACCCTAGCCGCAAATCCCATCCTTTTTCCCACATTCCCATCCTTTTTCCCACATTTAGCCGCAAGGAAACCATCCCATAATCCCACCATTCCATTCAGCCGTGGCCCCCCCCATTTATCAAAAACCCTAATAAACCATATATTTTAAGCGGTGCATTTTCCATTAACCCTAATCATTGAGCCACCATAATTCCAATTTTTTTAGTCCTTTACCCGCAGCACCATCACATAATAAATCCCATTCACCCTGGGAGCCGTGATTGATTCATATTTTCTATTCAGCCACAACCTAATTCTCCCATTCCATAAACCGTGCATTACACTTTCATCCATTCCAAAAAGCCGCAGCACCATTTTTTATTATTCTCTCCAAAATGCCGTGCATTCCAGGATATTTTTCAACCTAATATTAACCCCTTAATTTCCAGCCCCCTTCACACACTAAACAGCCGCACCCTAATTCATCTTCCAGATTTTTTCACAAACAGCCGCAACACCAATTCCAGCTTTCCCCCATAATTCCACCACCTTGCCGCACCACCAATCCTCCCTAAATCCATCCCCAACCCAAAATAACATCCAAATCATCCATTTAACCTCACTGCCGCAGCAAGGAGAAGAGGAAAGAGGACTTAGACGCGCAGAAATTCAAGTAGATTCGTTGGGCGTTCGAGGTGTAATCCATCCTTTGTTCTTTATGTTTAAATTCAATTGTATTTCTCTTTTTGCGAACATGAGAGGCTAAATCCCCCTAGTTAGCTAGGGGGTGATTGGAAACCATGGTTATACTTGCAATATGAATTGATTACTTTTGGTTGGAATTTCATGAATGTTGGATTCAATTCATTTAACTGTTTGATTGATAACTTGTTTGTGTATGTTTATTGAGAGTGCACGCTTAATGTTCATGCATGAATTTGACGCTAGAATATAAGTGAGTTTCACCTAATAGTTATGAACTTATATTCACAAGTAATGGAGGTTGCTTATAAACAATCGCGTTAATTGAATTCCTGGCAAGAGTATCATGCTTTTCATAGTTACAAATGCCTTGTCGATGCTTATAATTTCCAAAGAACGTAATGATTCTAACTTGTATCTTTATCATGCTGTTCATATAGAGAACTTGTTAGGAATAATTTGTTTGCGATGCATATTCATCCAATTCAATGATTCTAGGGAAATTTGAAGGTTAATTTAAGCGGACCTAATTAACTTGGAGTGTCGAGTTCCATAATTTATCGAAAGACCAACTAAAAGTCATTTTGTATGCAAGTGTGACATGTGTGGAGAAGAACCTTCTAGCTAGCATTCATCCATATTTTCATCACATTCATATTTACATTCTGCCTTTAAATTACAATCGTTACATTTAGTTTAATTTCGTCAAAACCTCAATCCCCCTTTACTTTAGTGTCCAATTTAGTTAGAAAGTGTCTTAGTTTGTGTTTATAAGTGTTTTGTATTCTTTGAGTCTTTTGATTTGCTTTAGTATTTTATTGTTTAGTTTTACATTCTTTGAGTCTAGTTTAGTGTTTTTAACGTTTGTTTTACGTTTTTGAGTCAGTTTCCAAGTGATTTAGTAATCCCTCCTAATCCCCGGTCTAGAACGATCCCTACTTGCATCTTTACTACAATTGTCACAAGAGGGTTTTAATTTGTGTGCTTACTTAGTTCGCATCACTCCCTCACATTCTCATACACCTTGACCTCCGCCTTCACCTTAATCTCCGCCATCCTCCCCTCCCCCTCCCTCTTCGTCCCATATATCTTCGTCTCTGCGTCAATCTTGGCCGCATACTGCAGCGTCTCGCCCTCCCTCATCTTCGACCCTATCTCCCCCTTCTTTCTTGCCTCCGCCACGTCAACCCTTGCCTGATTTGCCGCCTCCATCTGTGTTTTCTGCCCCAAGTAACTAAAATACTCATGCCCCGGCACATCCACCAACTGCTTGACATTTGCATTATAAATCAAAAGCCCAAACTGATTGAGTTCCAACTGAACCTTCTCAAACACCTCTTGCTTAAACTCTTTTGTCCCCTTAAACACCTCCTCCATGGTCATCGAGGCCGCGAGAACACGAGTCTCACCCTCAATGATCCCCTGAACAAGCTCTTTCACGTGGCTAGAGAGCTTGTCATGGCGGGAAATGAGCTTGGCGTACTTTTGGAGACTGTGGATGTCATCGATCCGTGGGCCGATGGTGAAGACGGCGGGCAGCATGAAGGGGAGCTTTTCCGAGCTCATGGCTTGGACTTCGAAGGTATAGTTGACGGGGGACACGTCGAAGATTATGAAGTACTGGCCGGGGAGGATCCATGCCTTCTTTGCAAGCTTTATGTCGGTGATTCCGATCCCGGTGATCACCAGATACTCTGAAGGGTTTGCTACTTTATACATTTTTGTCCTTCTTTACTTGAGCAATGCAAGAGCTATGTTATATGAGGGAAAGCAACAAGGAGCATAGGTATATAGTAAACGATATGCAGAACTCATTTATCAAAAAATTGGGTTTAGGATAATTTATGTGTGGTATAGTCAATGAACTCATTTATTTAAGATTGGGTTTATTGACCAAAAAAATTAAAAAACTAAAAAAGATTGGGTTCACAAAAAAAGATTGGGTTTAGGATAATTTATGTGGATTATATGGATAGGATGGGGGTCGTGTCGTTTGTTTGTTGTGGACAACCCATCCAGGACTTGTGACCCTGCAACTAGCTAATTCTAGGGGTGAAAAAATAACTGAAAATCTCTAACCGAACTAAAAATGTCACTAAACCGAACCGAAAATGTCTCAAATCGAAAATCTTATATTGTTCAATACCCGAAACTGAATCAGTCCCAAAAAGAATCTCATATGTCTTCATTCAGTAATCCCGAACCGAATAGAAACATATTTTATAATATATATTTATATATATAATAGATATATATATATATATATATATCAAGGTTCTAAAAAACATTAGGCGCTAGTTAGGCGGTGAGCTAGCGCCTAGCGCCTAGGCGGCTAGGAGGGATCTAGGCGGCCTTGGCGGATTTAGGTAAATTTCTTATATATTATATGAATTAATTAAATTTACTGTATCAAATGTAAATAATTATTGAATAATATGTTATTTCTTATAGAAGAACATACATATATGAATGTTTTATGTACATATCTAATATGCTTGCCTAGGAAAAAAAAAATATTATCTAAATAATTTATAATTTATATACATATAATATACGTCTCAAACTTTTAAAAATATAAAAAGCCCACGCAAGTCGGTGGTTTTCATAATTAAAACCATCTGACCCTTAGCTATCCACCTTACTTATTTCACATCACCCAAGATGGACCCATCACCTGCTTTTGACCTTAGAAAATTTCGTTTCTTCTTATTTGCCCTTTCAGAACCTCAAAATGAATTTTTTAGTCTCTCTCTCTCTCTCTCTATCGGCATGGTCTCTTCCCTCATCTTCGTTCTTCTTCTTCTTCGCCCTTTCACTTTCAGAACATCAAAATTGGATCTCAAATCCAACTTGCGCCACCACAGATTGAAATGTTTAATACTCTCTCTCTCTCTCTTCACACTCTTTCTTCCCTCATCTTTACAGAGACAAGCTACAAAAATTTGCCGGAGCTCTGCTGCTATCGGAAGTTGTAGATCCGGTTGCAAAAATTATAGTGAGATTCAAACCGCCTAGCGTCGCCTAGCCCGCCTAATTGAGCGTTTTGGTCTAAATCGGATAGGAGCTCCGCCACCCAGCACCTAGACGCCGCCTAGGCCTATTTTTAGAACACTAATATATATATATATATATATATATATAATTTTAAATTAGGTTTAGGAATTATGTGGACTGTCAGATTGGTTAAGATTTAATTTCAAACGTCCATCTAACTTAAGGTTTTAGTTTCTCAGTCTCTCACATTCTACCATTCAGCATTTTGAACCCTCTCTCATCTCTCTCGAGTTGTCTCTTTGTTCTCTCCGCCTCTACCTCTCCTCCACCTCTACCTCTCCTCCACCTCTACCTCTTCTCCCCCAACCTTCTCCAAGTCTCGACTCTGGCCACCACACCATACCCTCTCCTCTCATCTTACTCCAGCCACCACGACTCACACCATACTATCTTGAGTTCTCGACTCTCTTATTCTCTCCTTCTCGATTGAGCCCCAAAATCGAGGTATTTGTTTCAAAATCTATGGTTTGTTTCGGTTTACTTTCGAATTAAGATTGTGGTCCATCAAATTATTGAAGCAAAATATGTAGTTATTTAGTCGACCTTTTGTCCGTTATAATTATCATTTTAACTCGTTATGGTTTGGCCATATGTACATTGATGCTTTTAATGTCTTAGTTTGTTGTGTTTTGTTTTATTTTTTTGTTAGTTTGATTTGATTGAAAGAATAAACAATTGGATTTTGCCCTATGAATGTATGTACGGCTTTCGAAAGCTGGCATACATGCTAAATCATGCGAAGGGGTTCCATATGCCCAAAATTTTGGCCCTCATCTCATTCAGTTAGGACATGCAATTTTGCTTTGTTATGTTCTCTTCAAATGAGTAGATATATAAAAGTGTAAAACTATATGAGAGTTTTATGGTTTGAATTGTTATGTTGTATTTTTCTTTAAGGATATACAAGTGCAAGGATCTCTAGGTACATGGAATTCCTATTTAAGGAGGAAATTCTATCAATTACAAATTTACAATAAATAGGAAAGTTGACTCACTCAAACACTCTCCCTCTAAATGGTGGATAGATATGAGTATTTATCAAATATAGCCAAACATTGGCCTTAATTTCAAAAATAGTCGTTTTTATAAAAACTTTCAAATATATCCAAAACTATCACTTAAATAGACACAAATGCCTTCAAACTTTAAAACCAAATAAATTAAAAAACCAAAACCCTATTAGATAAAAAATTGACGTCAAAACCTAAGAAATTGTGGAGACATACTGAAGGCATCGACTACTGGCATAGATGGTTAATTTTTTTTCATTTTTCCTCGTCTACATTTTTTTTCTTTGCTTTCGTAGTTTTTTGCTTCAGTTGAATATTTATTGAAGAATGAACCGTCAATCTTTGTAACGTAATTTATCTCAATTTTTCTTTGAATTATATGTGCTTCATATTTAGTTTTCCATACCTTTGCATTATTAAGGGTGTTTTATGAATTCAGATTCTGTTTTGTAGGTTACTATTGACTATGATAGTGAATCGAGGGATTTGCTATTCTTAGAAAGTGCAAAAGAATTTTTTAAAGTTTACGGAATATAAAGTCTTTAGTGCATATAAGAAAAATTAGGTTTCTTGTGTCAGTGGAAGATTGACAAATCTAATAGCATTTGCCAATCAGTTAGAGGCAAAGCTAATAGTTCTTTTAGCGCATATTAGAAAAATTAGGGTTTATGGAATAGAAATTTTTCTTTCTTTGTGCTTTTATTCTTCTTATCTTGGTTTGGAAATTGTTAATTATTGTACTAATAATCTGGGAAATATCAAATTAATATTTTTCAATGCGTAAAATAGTCATAAGTAAACTTCCAGAACAGCACCTTGATCAACAAGGTCCTTCTTCCATTGCTCAAATGCATGATGTCTTGTATATATATTAACGCCCAGCCTTGTTCTCATGAGTCAATCCAGGTTTTACAACACCCTCTTTATTTTCACATATATATCGATCTTAGCCGTGTCTGTATGTCACTTTTTTTTACTTATTGTTTTGCTTATATTTCTAGAAAATGTCTAGTTTGGCAATTTTAGTGAACAATGGTGGGAGGTGGGCTGACTCAAGTAATATGCGGAGCTTCAGAAGAAAGTATATGGTATTTTGGCACACTTTCGTTTGTTCTCAAGTTTTTTAACTATTTTGCCGATTCTTATATCCCATAATCTGTAAATAAATGTATGTTTGCAATGTAAGAGACTAAAGTTAAATGCATGTTTAGTAAATAAATTTATGTTTTATATAAATTGCCTTTGTAGCTTTTATGCAGCAGTTTAGGGTATTCATCCGCTTCTCTTACATATAATTACTTGCAAATTGCTTTTGTAGTTTTGTTTGGGCCCAAAATGATATTTTCGGCAAAGCCCAGGGTTCTCGGTCTAATAAGGAGTATCAAGAATATTCTGCCATGGGTTGAGCCTAGTAGAGTTTGGCCGTATCCTATCAGAATGTGATTTCCGCCTGGATAAAGATGAAATGATCGAATCCTAATACAAGAGGGACTCTCTAGAGTTAAAATAAAAACTTCTAAGTCAGATAAGGTGCCAAACTTCAAGGGATGAATCTGAATGATTAAATAGCTTGGTTCAGAGTCCTATAGAGGTTAGGATTGGTCAAGACCGAATTAGATTGGGATGAGGAATTTTAGTCCGAGTGAAATTCTAGTTTGATTATTTGGGAAATCACTACTATAAATAGAGAGGGAGATGCATCATTCAAGCCACTCTAATTAAACACAAAACTGCCTTGCGCAAACCTCTCAAACACCTTCAGATTTTTATTTTCTTTTTTCCCGCCAACACATCTTCAATTTGGATAAATATTACTATGAAGGCAACCAACAACATCTTCAATTTGGATAAACAACACTGGAGCCGTAGAATCAGTCGACCAGTGGAGCACCTTCAATTTAGATGAATAACACTGCTTCAAGATCGACTGGTTATTTATCCAAGTCTCTGTCAACAAGATTTCCGAGTCCTTGTTGGAAGAGGTCATCTCATCAGCTTTCTCGGTGAACTGAGGTGTTACCAAGCTCAGCACATTGAAAACCGATTTTATTTTATGATTGGATATGCGCAATTACATTTTAGAGTTCGGCATTCCGACGGCCGAACCACATTTATAATCAAGACACTTATCTTATTTGAGTATTTGTGTCCGTACAGTCTTGTACCAGTTCGGCGTACTTATATTCTCACAAATATAATTACTAAGGCCGAACTCAACGCTGACGATTCGTGAACTTCGAAGAAACTAGCAGCCTTGTCTTCTGGTTCTAGAACCCAAAGGCTGAGATGATTTCCTTCCTCAATCCCAATCGCAAGATGCAGAAGTCAGCAGCACGCCCAACGCCACATCAGCATTCATTTTACTCCCCGGTCGAGTTTAGCCGATGAGTTGGCATGCCTTACATTCGACCGAATAACATAGTTAGCTTATTAATTACTCGACAAGCGCGCCACGTAGACTAAGTAGTTTTTAAGGTCAACATTTTGGCACGCCCGGTGGGACCCAGTGCTAAAGTGAAGTTCATAACCATTGAAACATGGTCAGTCAAAAAGAAAACAACTATGGGCAATTCGACTACTAGTTTAGCACTTATAGTTCAGAGTCCAGTACAAAGTAACGTGTCGCATGCGCAGAATCCTCCTGTTGCTGTAACACCTGAAGTCACAGGTACGACGCGCTATGAAAAGGAAATTAATCTCAGCGGTTGCCGTAGTTTTCACCCCGACTACCAAGATGGCAAAAGATTCTTTTATTGAAGGTCTGGTAGAGGAT